TTGCCTGAAGAGTTTTCTGATCCTGAAAGTGTGTTGACCAATGGTGGAAGTTTGATTGTTGATCCGTTTGGCAAGATTCTTGCTGGTCCTTTGTTTGGTGAAGAAGGTGTTCTTGTTGCCGAAATCGACACAGATCAATGCATCAAAGGCAAGATGGATCTTGACATTTGTGGACATTATGCATGTAAAGATGCTTTTCTATTCCAAGTAAAACAATAATCATGATTTAGTGAACTCTCGATTTGCTTCAGATTTTCAAATCAAAGTCTATTAATAAAATTATTGGCAAGCATGTTCATGATAGATTATATTCACAGATTGTCTTTCAGTTTCTTGTTTAATTTTTTTTTCGATGAAAACAAAAAGAACTGTTTCATCTCCATTAATAAGTGTATTAAGGACGTTGTGGCTCTTAGAGATCATTAACTTTTGCAGACATCTGCTTGAGCTGATTTATATTATATAAGCCTGTGAATGTGGTTGGATGAAGAGACGTCATTTAGTTACACCCATATTGAAGATGATCTGTGATATTTTCGAAAGCTTTCTGGTTGCTGATCTTTAGACTTCAAAAACAATGATAGAAATAGTTAAGTTTCACGGTTATGCCTAATATGGTTTATGGATAATGTCAGTACAGAGGAAACATTCTAATGCACATTTTTCATATACAATCTAAAACTCAGCATTCAGTACGATCCTTTTTATTCAATCAAAATAGTTGATTGGAGTTTATTTTGTCATTTATATTCTATTAAACACTTACTTATGGAGTCAATCATCTATTTTAAGAACGTTTTTTGTTCCTTCATTACAAAAAAAAGAAATATCTAATATTCGAGCAACCATTGTAAAGTGCATGTTAGATCAGGAACTCACTAATATACATGTACTTAATTATATTGGAACGTTTGCAGAAGCAGTACGATGAATCATCTTAGAGCAAACCTAATTGACTGCTAGCGTTCTTTACATATGCACAATACAGCGAGTAGAGTTTTATAAAGTTACAATTTTGCCATCCGCTCGGACTGTTAATGACAATACATATTACAGTAAATGGAAATGAAACAAGTTTGGCTATCGATGCTCAAGAATGGTAGAGATCATAAAAAGCATAACTTTGCATGAGTCGAATATGAAACTTAGTATCTAATTGCTTTCCAGTTTAAGTAGGTTGACGACGTATAAGTTGCTCAACATCGAGTGTAAACGATAACGTTTCATTGAAGCGCATTAGTTCGATTGTGTTCTGTAGAATATTGCATGTACCATAATAATTACATATTAGTTTGAATTTTAACAGGAAATCAAATAATGTATTAAATCCAAGCGTAGTTCATTTTCAAAGCTTCCGTCACTGATAGCCGTTGCTTAAATCGTAAGACTGGTGTAAAGCTGTGAAAAACATATTAGGATATCTTATCAACCCTTGAAATCTGAAAAACAACTTTCATTATATTATATCTTCTTGCCTTGCCAAGGAGTTAAGGTATAGAACTTCTCAAATCATCTAAATACTCTGATATCTACATAGTCATTTTACATAATGATTTCGTTTTTTTCTATACTGTGGACGGTGGATAGAGAAACAACACTGAATTCTATATTTAGACATATTCCACTTTTTTATGGGAATTTATAAAACCTTTAGTAAAATTCATTCCTGGGTGTATTTGATGATGCGATTCTATTTCATTTATTGCAAACGTCAGCTTTACTGTCTTCGACATACAAAACTGATATATATCTTATTCGTCTCGAAAATATGTGAATGTTTAGGTACACACAATTTTCTATTTTTCTATCTCATATTACTTTAGTCTTTAGGACGAATAGCTTGCATATGCACAACTCTTGTCCGAAACGTTAACGAAGTAAACAGAAATATGAGGGTGTGGATGTATAAGAAGGCAGCATCCGATCTCTTGTTGATGCATGATGAACACGTCAAAGAAGAGAAAACTCACTCTAGGTCTCTAGCTATTTCATTAATAACTGAATAGACAATGGTGTATTGGAATGAAATTTGAAATCTAGAAAATATTACTTTTCAATTGATGAAAAACCCATTCGGGTCGGGTATGGGTGTAGATATAGTTGTGTGAATGAAAAGAAAATCCACACTCTTGGAGCGCTGAATTCAATGTATTCAACTGATTGTAAATATAGCAAATATGAACTGGACCCCGAGATTGAATGCCATAGTTTTGTCAACAGTATTTTCTCAATTTGAGATGAAGTTCTTGAATTAGTGAATTACTTTCTTCATTTACATCTGCAAAGATTACATGAAACAGAAGTCTGTATCATTCTATTGAGAGGAGATTTATAAGTAAGTCTGGAGCTGATAAATATTCACACTGAATCTAGCTTAAGATTGGTAATGTGTATTATTCTACAACCATATAGTTCTTTTATCTGTCATTATTAGCGTGGATATGAATACTGCTTAAATTAACTGGTTTATCTACTGATAAGTATTCTATGTATCACGGTGCAAGTACGATGTAACTGCACTTTTGATCTCCGATCTAAGAAATCATACTATACTCGAAAGAGAAACGAAAATCAAATTAACGTCAAAAAAAGGTTTCATCATGAAAATACCAGACCTATCCAGATCGAAACTAAACGTATATGCACACAATGACGCATACATATTGACTATTAGACAGAAGCACAGATGGATGTTCTTAGTGACCAACGAGTCTGTAGTAGCCTTTTCTGACAAATACCATGCTATTCTGATGTTCAAATGAATATTTTTGACGAGTTCTTTAAAATATGATCAAAGATACTTTGTTATTCAAAAGTGAAAGTTCCGTCATACTAAATATTCGACAATAGGTTATGACAACAAGAGAGGCTGGAGAACTTTCTTTGTTGCGTTTTTTAAGCTCAAACTGAATAGCCTCGAGCCAACATATATACAGATCAATCATGATGCGTTAGTAACGTACTTTAGTCGACAGTCAGTTGAAACTATCTTGATATGAGATCAAATCAAATCGAATAGCCGATGTTGCCAGTTCTTTTCACTCTCTGCAACGTACATACGAAAACAATTGATCGACCATTTTCTATAGTCAACGTGCAACAAATTATGTATACGACAGAATCTTCAAAAATGTCGTTTCACATTACTACCTTGACTAGAAATTTTTTCATCGACTTGCCTTTTGCTTAATTCAGCGAATGAAATGATCATTATTATTATGAAAACCATGGTGGTGAACAGCTTGAAATAGGTATCCTAGACTACTCCTTCAAACAGATTCAAATGAATTCTTTTTTTCTTGACATCAAGCAATATATTCCTTTTTCTCGCGTCAAGCTATAGGTTCTTTTTTTTCTCGTTTCAAGCGATAGAGTCGTTCTCTTATAGCGCCGACTCGTTTGAGAGGAGAGAAGTGAAGATCGAATAAAACAAATATAGTTAAAAGCAAATAAAAAGTCGGTTAAGTGTTAACACAGTCATATGAAGAAAGGCAGTAGCAAAAATTTCATTTTCGTTTGCAATCGTGCTGTCGGAAGTATGGAGAAGTTTCAAAACGGTAACAACATTCAATTGTTTTTTTTTCAACTCAGATTCTCGTTGAAATATTTTGAACACATTGCTCAAACGATTACGTTGAATAGGTTATGCATAGCTAGAAATAAAAAATATTTTCAATACTGTTACTCACTGAAAGTCACTTTGTTCGTAGCAGTCAAACTCGAATTTTCAAGAAAACAGACTTGTCGGTTTCTATGACAACTCATTATCTCTTACAGTATCACTCTCTATATGATTTTCTTTTTCTATTGATCAAAATTCATACAATTGACGATAACTATAAAGCTTCTCATTGGTGACATTTTAACATCCTCACATGCTCTAGTTTTTTTTGTGTAGTTTTTCATTGTTATTGTATCTTCTATTTTCATGCTTACCCATAATGTAGAGCTCTGATGAGTGCGAGTACTTTAATGAGTTGCAAGAAACACATCAGTAAGCTAGTTCTCCAATTATCGTCATTAGTTTTCATATATAAGCACATCGTTTTTCATTATGACTCTCCTTTAAATTAAACTGGTTGCTCAGAGCCTCAAGTTGCCAGTAACAGACTGAACTTGTCTGTTCTTGAAGAAATATGCCTATCTTTCATTGATTGATGAACCCACACCCTTATATGTAATTCTCCACCAATATGATATTGGAAGACAATTTTCTACAATCTACCAACAGCTTTATTTTTTTATGCATGATGAAATTTTGCCTATATGATTTTAGATATAAACGATGTTTTCTACGAAAAAACCGGGATTATTTTTTAAATCAGGTGAGTATTCATTTCTTATTTGCCTGAGACGACAGATCAGTAGTTCATGGCCAAATTGATAATTGGTTTTTGATCCGTCAATAATGACGATGACTATATATGTTTTTAATTGGATTTTTACTTAATTATACATCGTTGGACCTTCCGACGGCGTGTTTTCAAGGGAATGTTTTACTATTTATTTGTAGACAAACCTTGGCTTGAATGTCAGTTTAACGATGCTCAGAAACAATTGATCAAACGACCACACGAGCTCGAACGCGAAATGAAAAATCCACCAGGCGACATAGATGATGAACTGCTCAATAAAATTCTAGGTTCTATGATGGGATTGGCTTTGGGCGATGCGGTTGGTGCTCATGTCGAGTTTAGACCTCGTACATATTTAGAGGCACATCCGGTTAAAAGTCTGGAGGGTGGCGGGACATGGGGTCTGGAAAAGGGACAAGTAAGATCGATTTCAGAAATTATGATAGCACAGATTATATGAGAAAAAGTATTATGAGTGGGTATTCTTCTCTCGAATGTAGTTAATAAAATAGAATTTGAAACCATAAGTTTTCAAAGTATGCAGAACTCTTCATAATTCGTTTGACTAGTCATTAGAGTTATTTAAATAGGGAAATGACTAAGATGAACTGGTTGTTTTTGTTTCAGTTTACAGACGATACTTCTATGGCTCTCTGCTTGGCTACATCACTCATTGCTCGGCGTGGCTTTGTTGCCTATGATCAATTGGTACGCTACAAATGGTGGCATCAGTATGGCTATATGTCATCAACAGGAAAATGTTTTGATATTGGTGCAGCCACTAAACAATCTATTATTCAATTTGAAAAGAATCAAAAGGAGTTTGCGAAGAAAACCAGCATTCCTATTGATTATATGGATTTTCTATCCGATCCCGATTGTTTACATAAGTTCAACATAAACTGCAGCGAAGATGGAGTCGCTGGAAATGGAGCACTTATGCGTCTCGCACCTGTTCCACTTTTCTTCTACCGAAATCCTAAAAAAGCCGTCGAATATGCAGGTATTAGTGGCAAGATTACTCATGGCGACGACAAAGCTTATGATGCATGTCGGTTTTATGCAGCACTCATCATCGGTGCTCTTAAAAACATATCTAAAGACGATTTGCTCAAAGAAACATTCTATACCGATCATAAAACATGGTTTGGAGAGAAGGATCTTCATCCAGACATTCGAAAGATTGCAGATGGGTCATACAGAAAAAAAAGAGGATACGACGATGGCATTCGAGGCAAAGGTTATATTGTCAGTGCTCTAGAAGCTGCTTTATGGGCATTTTGGAGCGATGAGAACTCGTTCGAGAAAGGTGTATTGAAAGCTGTTAATCTTGGTGATGATACTGATACAACTGCAGCTATTTATGGACAATTGGCAGGTGCATACTACGGTTATAAGGCATTGCCTGAGGAGTGGATCAAACATATATATGGAAGAAAATTCATTAAGTGTTTGAGCAAATGGATCATATACGAAGGAGAAAATTGGTCAAAAAGTCACATAATCGACGATGATGAAGTTGAAGAAAATGACGAGTTGCCAGCAGAAATGCCTAATATATCGCGTTCTCGCCGTTCTACAGTTCATACAATTGTGTACCAAGCTTCAAATTCAAACAATGATAATCCGACTATTGAAACTTCGGACCAACCATCAGTGCCCAAAAACCATCGTAAATCATCAACAGACTCCAAAGATAAGAAACCACTACAGGCAACAACTTCGTGTCCACCATCGATGCCAAAAAATGATCGTAGATTATCGACAGACTTAAGCGATAAGAAGCCATTACAGGCAGCGGCTTCATGCCAACCATCAATGCCAAAAGATGATCGTAGATCATCAACAGACATAAACGATAATAAACCATTACAGGCATCTTCGAAACTTGCATTACCAAGTATTCACTCACCTGGCAACAATGGGCGACGACAGAGCCATGATTTTATTGGCGACGCTTTTTCAAAATCATCAAAAAAATAATAACTTCATTTTGTTTCGAATTTTCAAATATTTAATTTTCTTTGTCTTCAACCGGGTTTCATTTTTATCTTCTTTTAAGCTGCCAAATAGAATTCTAGCTTCGACATTGTTTTTTTTAACGATCAGCTCATTGCAAATGAACATTTTTTCAAATATCATAAAAACCGAGATATTTGACATCAATAACTTACGATTCGGACATTTTGATCATGATTTTGCTCTATTTTAGAAGATCAATGGAACAACCGAACACTATTCATTGATATTCAACTAAGAATGATCCTATTGCTATGTAATGAATCTCTTGTCAGAATATATTAGGTATCATAATTCATATAGATCGACGCAGGATACGGATGGGTGGAAGTATGAAGGTGGATCTTCTTGCCATCAATATCCACACACCCATACTAAATTAAAATGTAAGTAAAAAAAGCTTTCACTGATCTTTTCTATAGATAACAGAAATTTTTTCTTGCATCAATATGACATACTGACAAACTCGATATAATAAAGATGTTATTGTTCATAATGGAAAAAAATTAGGCGGGCATGCTCTTTTAAATTATTCTAGTCTCTCTGTACTCTTATCGTTTTTTAAAAGAAATTATTAAATATTTTTTTTTTCTAGGAGAGTAACTTTAATGTGTCAGAAGTTGAAACAAGGAAGCTGTATCATAACAAAAATAACAATCAATAAAAACGAAAAACCAACGAAAGAATACCTAACGAAATTGAATGTAATGATTCAACTCGCGAATTTCGATAGAAAAATAATAATCAAAATACGGAATGTTTATAAAGCAATATTGATGGTCAATGATCAAATATTTCGTTAACACTATGAGAAGACTACGGTGAAACATGCTGCAGAGACATCACATACATTATGAATTTTTTTGATTGAAAAATTAATTATTGTTGGGTGAAAAACATGGAATGATTTCGATATAATCGTTTTCTCTCAATATTTTACAAACGAAAAAATTGCATCATTTCGTCTTTTTTCATTTTTTATAAATTAATAAGGATTGTCAAAACTAGTGAAAAGCAATGAAAAGAAGAAAAAAAGGAATAGTGCTTTCAATATCATCCAAATCCAATCGATGATAGGAAGCAATTTAATCGGCAACATAAGCGCTTGGTAATCGATCCATTAAAACTGTATGCATGTAATAGTCAATATCACTATAGAAAATCTGTTGGAGACAGAGGTACAGAATCTACCCGAGTGTGGGAACACGAGTTTGGGGAAATTTGTTGACTCTGAGGAAATTCTTGAAAAAGTCGAGATCGGAAAACTTTTCGAAGAATCCCTTCCTATATGGAAAAATCAGAAACTCAATAAACGATTTCTCTAGTTGTTTTGTTCTTTCATTGTCTATTAATTTATAGACCTAGGTCTTTGTCTCATTTGCACGCACATCATTCGCCTCTGAATGCCTTTTTCCTTTCCCTATCCCATTTTCCTTTCAGCGCTGTTTCTTGTCATCTACTCTTTTTAAACGTTACCAATTTTGGTTTATATTATCAACGAGTATCTATGTAAGCATCAACTTTGATAGTAGTAGATTATTGTACGACGGGATATAATAAAATAGTTACATGAATATGCGACAATTTATATTGGTCTCTAGGCAACAAAATTGAATATAATAAATTATATGTGTGAATAATATATTGCAATCTATCTAATTTATTAACTATAATAACTTATCTACACATGATTCTTTATCAAGTCTTTCTCTCGCAATAGAAGACTGCTCTTTAGAAAATAATCCAGACTGATCAACAGATCATAGTATTCCTGTTATTGATTTGTGTTAAAACTGAAAGCTTTCAAAGTTTTTTGGTACTATTGAACCTGAAAATGAAGAGGTTGCCCAAAGTTACACAAAGGTTTCACGTAAATCCACCTTTTTAAACATAAAATACATTGCTTAAATAAATCGATTTTCAAAGAACATCTCAAAGACTATATTCATATTAGAAGACAGCTTCGAGAAGGGTAATCTGAAAAACTCGAATAGAAAATAATAGTCTTCTATTGTGGAAGGAACTCTAATCGATTTTGATGATTAAAAATTTGTTCTAGCTGTTCTATGTTCATAACATCACTTTATTAAGTTTTTTTTTGCATAATAATTGATTATAATCACAATGATTTTGGTTTTGTTTACGGTGCAATCGTTTTTGACACCTTACAGATAGCTCACTTTTGATGCTCTGTGTTTATGAATATGCATCCTCAAACAAAAGACACTATTTTCTCTTCTTTTTAGGCGAGAAAATTTTCCGAAAAACTTTCGTCGTTTGGGAAAATTTTCCATTTTGCGGCAGATTCTGCACCTCTGATTAGAGATCATCACTTTATTTTAATCCATATAATAATCAATTCTTCTTTCGAACAATTTTTACACACATGTTAATGAAATATATGTATGTAGTTTTGTATTGCATTCACCATTACAACAAACACGTCTATCACCCCATTGATCTAATTAATGTGTTTATTATTTATGTAATAACTATAATTGTTTTCTCGACTCACTAATATTAGTTAATATGAATAGTTTCGTGTTAAATATGCCATAAAATTATGAAAGACATAGAATGCAAATTTTCTCGAAATAATAGTTGAGGAACAGTTAACTCTTTAAAATATAAGGAATATCATTTGGGAAAATAGATAATTAATAAAAGAAAATATATTTATGAAAAGCATAGCTATCATTTACAAACAATTCTTGATTAGACTATCACTATTCAATGTTCATTGAAATTGGTCCTGAATATCTTTCATCAATTGCTCTAGCTTGGATTCGTCTCCATTCAGTAATTCTTTTAAAGATTTGTATGCTTTGTTCGATAACGCTTGCCAAAGTGTTTTCGAAGCAAGGCATCGAGTTTCAAGTATGATGATAACTATTGCTGTGGTTATTACTGATTGTTGAGTGTTCTTCTCAAGTTTTTCAACCATTGATGATGAAAAAATAGTTAGAGATTTTCCCGTCAATTGATTGATATCGTCCGCTGTTAATATTCATAGACCATCGTACTGTTGCAGTTCGATAAAGCGATCAACCAGTTTCTGTTCATCTGTTGGCCAGATCATCTTCGATGTTTGATTGTTAGATGAACTTGAATTATATGATGATTGATTAATGTCAGCATGTGTTGAACATGTTACAGGTTCCGAGTCAGAATAATTATTCAGTTTTTCGGTACTTTTTTTGGCGAATAGAGATGAAACAAAATTAATGGTAGGCTGCAGAATCGAGCCAATAGGAACACTGAATTTATTTTTCCATCTCGCTGCTTTGTAAAATTTATGTGAAGAAGTACTTAAGGAACAACATTGATATTGTAAACTTGAGAGGCATTGAGCAGAGTCTAACGTCAATGCAAAGTTACTGTTGATCATGCTAATTACACTATCAATATCATGCGAGGATGATTGGTGTCCTAGAAAATACGTATTTGAAAATCACGAAATCGTGTTAGTGACTCTTGACATGTCTTACTTATCATGATTGGCACTTCGCGAAGTTCCATATCGATATTGCTTTCACTGTTGATATCCAACCGTCTTTCAACACCAATAAAAGCTGTGTATGGACACAGAACATCATACTTGATTGAAATATTAACAAGAAGTTCTTTGTCTATGGTTTTTTGATCATCCGAAAGTTCACGAAGCAATGCTTTTGCTGCTAAACGCATAACAAGTTGCGAACTAAGTACTGATGGTACATGATCTATACGAGCTAAACCAATGGATTGTTGTTGCGTGCCAATAAATAACTCAACACTTATTGTGTGATCAAATGGCATTGACTCATCGAGAAAAGCATAGAAAAGTAACCGATCTCCGACAAACACAGGTGGAGCATGTTCGGGCACTTTATGAAGGATACGCTGGTTTGTATTCCATTTAACGTACACATCTGCAATACTTGGTTGTAAAGCACGAGCAAGCTGTTCGGCAACATAGATGTCCACATTTGTATGTGGAGCAATGAAATTAAAATAACCATTAGTAGCACGAGCTATACCTTTAACAAGAGCGCGACTTGGCTATGGAAGGAAAAAAAAATGTAAATGAAGTCATTTACAAAGAATGAATTGCTTACTGAATGGCCCAAACCAAACGAGAAAATCCGTGTGTATTCGGACATCTCACGACAGAGGTTTGTTACTTCAGTAACATTGGAAACTTCTCCATCTGTCAATAAAAAGATTTGTCTTACACCACTTGTAAGTGGTTTGTTCTCTTTTAACCATCGAAGTGGCATAAGCAATTCTGTGCCACCAAGATCGGCCTTCATATCCTTGATCAGTGTTTCAGCTTGACTCATATTCTCTTTATTATACTCTCGTGTCACTTGACCAGTAAAAAGTGCTGAGAAATGAGATCCAAAACGAATAATATTGAAACGGCAATTGACTGGCAGACTCTTGAGAAAAAGTAGCATTGCTTTGCGTGCTAAACCAATCTTGTCATCCCCTTCCATCGAACCACTACAATCAATGACGAAAAAAAATTCGTTCATTACGCTATTTGAGTCTTGTCGACAATCCTGTTCACTTGGTATGAATGAGATCATAACAGCATCATTGTCAATGACTGCAATTGTATTTCTTCGTATATCGGATAATTCAACATCAACAATAATGTCTCGACTAGAAAAAGCAAATCAACGCATGCCTTTCAATATACATGTAAATAAAATGAAAACATTTTTTTTCAGTCCATAACTGTTTTCAACTAAGATAAAACCATACAGGACTTACTCGAGTTTAGTTCCTTGTTGAATAAGTGTAACAAGGAATGTCTCCTCATTACTACAATCGACATTGATTGGATGTGAAGGAGATGAAACACAGACAACATGCTGATCTAGTTTTTCTACTTGACATATGAACTCAATATTGTAAGGAACCGACTCAGCATACTCGATTTGAGTTTCGCTCGGTGATGTGATACTTTTATGTGAAGGTGAGTAACGAGAAGCGATTGTAGTAGGAACAACAAAACGAATTATCGACTTTTTGCTACAATGCAATAAATCGAGTTCACTCACATAACTAATTGTAATGTGGCATTGGCTACCGGGCTTTAACCTAGAAATAAAACATTATACAACGGATTAAAACTCAATAAAGCAAAAAAGAAACAATAACATACGCTCCCACACTAATAATAAATATATCATTTGAAGCTTCATCTTGCTCTAATAGATAAGCACCGTGACCTTGTGCAAGAGCTTGTGTATATTCTTGTTGTGCTTCTTTTTTCTCTCTAATTTGAGCAACTATTTCAAGTTCATTATCTATGCGAGCTACAAAGCCATAAATAGCTGCATTCTCTTCAACGGGAAAACTATAATGATCGCCTGACTTACGAAAGAAACAAATGAGAAAGTGACTTTTTTACCAATAAACGGCTTCAACCGGTACAGATTCATCGTTTTGAAATATTTGTATAATTGTTACATCGGCGGCAAACGAGTGGAGTTTTGCATCAACACACACTTGTTTAAGAGGAACTACTTTATCCGATGACACCGAAGATGTTATATTTCATGCTTAATACGGAGCATATTTCACAATTAATCTCGTAATGTATAACAAAAAGAAATAAAACATCATTTTATATAACACGATACTAGGAATGACTCAGATATGAGTCAATATATTATTTACATTTATTGTTGATTGAGTAAACTAGTGAGTAAGATGTCTGAAAGTAACAAAGATAATGTTTGAATAAATCCAATTAATATATTTTGGAATAGATGAATCATCAGGAATGTCTTGAATATGGATTTTCATTGAACTTTATTAGTATGAAAAATTAAAACAAGTTACATTCATTTTTATCTGAACTAATTTTGTGAGTAGATGTCACTAATTCCATATAATATAGAGTAATTAAAGCCATTGTCTTATATGTAACCTGTTTTCAAATGTAATCTTTCGATATGTTAATATTACTCATGATTTACGTTGAGTATACGATAACATATTGTTCTTTGAATAGGATTTATATCTAGTATATGTTGTCACTTGTCTTTTTTTCAAGGCATTGCATGGTGAAGTATATCTATCTAATTTAAATTAGTACTTTCATTCTTTTAGTTAAAATATGCATGCTACTTCAAAGTATTGACAGTAAGATAAATTGTAATACGTACATGACATATTCAATATCTTAACGATTTAAATATCAATTGCATATCATTGAATTAAAAAAGAAAACTTGTTATAGAGTTAGGCTTCGCAAGTTATTTATATCATACATCTGTTACATATAAACAGTAATAAAACTTTGACGAACTCTATTTATAGTACAAACAAAGTATATTGTCTATTAAGAGATGTTATATTCAATACATTATTTTATTCTTACTCTTTTATTTACTATCAATGCCGACAATAATAATAGCTATTCGCTTAATCAATCACACTTAAAATTGGAACCAACTTACTTGAATAATACAATGAATATGTCGAATCTTACTCGCTTGTCTGTTTTTGATCAGTTAACAAATTTTACTTTAGATGCTATCAGCGGATTACAGCCAGATCTATCATCGGGAAAAGAAACCATAGGTAATGTTGTATTTAATGTCCATCACTTCACTCAATTTCTCTTCGATGGTAATCATGTATACATCTACAGTCCAAAAAAGAATGATGAGAATATCAATCAACCTCAAAAATGGACCTTTTTCTATGTACCTGTACTACAACCAATGCAAACGTCAGCAATTCCTCCTTGGGTAATTATAAATAAACTTGAAGTACGTGTTCGACTTGCTATGGGTACGCCAAGTGTCGAAGAAGCTGCACGCCAAGCTATTGCTAATCAATTTAGCAACGCAATAGCTGAAAAATATTCGAAATCATGGGTTATTGCTCCATTGATGCTTGATTCTCTCTCAGCTTATATTGTTACAGTAGGTTCAACGCCAGTTCCAGGTGTCGCACCGTTTCATATTGATAATCCAAACTCCAATGTTATTACCTTGAGATTTGTATCTCCAATAAAAGAAATTGCCTTAGTGATTGCTGCTGGTTTACTTACTGGAGATTTCGATATTGAAGTCTCATTGTACTTTTCCGGTATGCATCGTGTTAGAACAAATATGATGACTATTACTGCAACTCAACTACAATCTGTTCTAAGTAAAACAATAGCTGATGGAGGTGGAACCAATTCAACGTATATTCATCGTGATCAAGCATCGAATTTTGTTGCGAAATATGTAACAAATGTCAAAAAACTTATTTATATTGAAGATCCTAATGCTAATATGTCAATATTAACTCGTGGTTTAGAAGAACAATTGGCAGCTCTATTTCACGAAGGTATCACTAAAGCTAAACAAGTACACATTAGAGCTGGTGCTTTCGGTCAAGTATGGCAATCGGCTGATCTTAATCCTGATCGTATAACTAGTGAGATGAGCAAAATGTTCACATTTAATAGAAGTGAAACGACGAAGCATAATAATAAAGAGAACTATTATTCGGTAAATCAACGTAAAGATTATTATTTACCAGTTCATACTCCATTAGATGTACGAATAAGATCACTTTTTACTACAGTTAATATTATTACCAATGATGATCGTCAAAAAAAGAATAGTGAAGAATATGAAACAACATCGCATAATGCTGTTTCAGAATCTGATATTAAAAAAGCTGCTTCACAAGCATCAATAGAAGGTGTTTGGGAAGGAAAAAAATTTATACCAAAATCATTTAAAGTTTTCAAATTAATTGATTTGGTTGATCGATTACAAGTAGCTGTCATTGCCAAACAACTTCTAGCTGAAAAAGCAAATGGAGCCGTAATTCGAAGAGTTGGCGTTTCAACTTCATTATCAAATAATTTGAATTTTTTTGCATCATTGGACAATGATACCCTTTTTGCATCATTGGAAAATACGAGTATTCTTGCGTTATTAGACAATTTTAATTTTTCTTTGCCATTCGACAATGAAAATACGGCCACATCCGAAAACAACAGGAATTTTCTTACTGGAGAAATCAAATTATATGCTGGTTCATCTCCTCCTCGTCCTCCATGGTTGCTTTGTGATGGATCTATTGTATCACGTTTAGAATATCCACGTCTCTTCTCAGTTATTGGTACAAAATATGGTGAAGGTGATAATACAACAACTTTCAAATTACCTGATTTACGTGGTCGAGTACCTCTTGGAGTCGATGCTGAGCAAATACGTGTTAATCAAGCTACAGATGTGGGTCAAACAGGTGGTAACACTAATCATACACTAACCGTTGAACAATTGCCATCACATGTACATGATTCAGGTACATTTCAAAATTCATATGATGGTCAACATACACATAATATTAATGATCCGGGTCATAATCATGGTGGTAAGACAAGTTCATATGCCATTCTCTCGTCATCGTCAAATAATTATGGAGAATACAACTCTCAAATGTCTGGTTATCGTCAATGGGCAGCTTATACTATCGCCACCTCTCTCACTCAAATTTCACTTTACTCAAATGGTAATCATACTCATCAATTAACAGGTCATACTGGTACAATCGGTCAAAATGAATCATTTTCGATTCTTCCTCCATATCAGACATTTTATTATATAATTTATGCTGACTAATAATATTCATTTTCTGATAAATGTTAGATAACGTAATATTCTTTTCCTATTTTTTTTTTATTATTGTTCGGAAGTACTAAGAAATATCTGATGTTTGTCAAATATTTAATAGATAACATTTTTTCTATATTTATTTTCATGTAATTGTTAAAAGCTATGACAATCTATTCTGAAATCTAAAACTTATTGTTTTCTCTACAAAACTATTTCATTTGTTGTTGAAATAAATTTTTCTTGTCTGACCAATATTTAAACTATGAATGTCTGTTCAATTCTTAAACTATGATTTTCAGTATTCTGCACAAGTCTATTAATCTGTGTAAGTCTTTGCCCATGAACACTAATCCAAAAAGTAACGCTATTATCTTCGATGGATAGAGAATTTTTTTCCTCTCCGCTTGTACTATAGTTTTCAAGGTCTGTGGTGTGATTGTTCATTGAGTAAAACTTACTGATATTATATTCACGAGAGAAATCTTCCAACTGTACAATCACTTTTGGAAAAGCTATGTATGAATACTCTAATACAAACGGCACGGTAGTACTATAATTGTATCTTAGAATAAAAATAGCGACAAGATCTGAAACATACATAAACAACTATTCTCGTTAAAGTCTGTTTCTATATAGAGTTTCAAATCAAAATTCAAAATCCAGTTTTACTTTGGTTAGTGTATGAAACATTCATTCTCACATTGTTGCATGTGGAATTTAGTTTTGAATAAAATGTTGTGAATGCTAAAATTAGAAATACCAACCATTTGATTATATCGAAATAACAAAGAATAATCATGTGAAAACTGTTAGATAAGACTTTTTTTCTCATTTTTTTTGAGACTATTGCAGATGAACTATTGAGTAAGTATCAGTATTTTAAATTTTGCTTCACCAAACAAAAAGATTACTTGGAAAACGATTGCAACAATTTCGTAGTGTATTTGAGTGCCTCCCAAGAAAAAAAACGCGATTCTCTGTTAACCAATCAATCTGAATATTTATAACAAAAAACAAACAATATTCAGTTTTATTTATTGCTAATTACTAAAACCCCAAAAAGCACTTGGTAAACCTTTTACATCTCTGGCTCGTTTAACAATTGCTGTAAATGATGAAACACAATTTCCAATAAAATAATTTGCATGTGCTAACATTGCTACATCAATGACAGGTAACCATGGATCGAGATGTTTAACACGTACATGTTGTGCTGATAAATATTTTTCAATTTCTTTAATCATTGGTCGTTTATCTGTTGCAACATAAATATTATGTATACGTGTACGAAGAACAACATTTTTTAATAAACGAAATATTTCATCATCAGATGGATAACATATTTTATGTGTAACAAATGTATGTGAAGATGATGGAAGATCAAGACATTGAGGTGAAGCCATATATGAACGAGTTTTATAGGTTTCAACATCAGCACAAGCTCGTTCCCAATCGAGATCATTTCGTAAATGAATTCCTTTATATAGAAAAAGAAAAAATTAAATAAATATTTAAGATCTGTTGACATACCAATATATGATTCATTATTGAATAATTTTTGTTGATGTTGTTGAACTTCATTCATAATTTTTTCTGACCAATTCATATATTTTTGTAAATAACGATATCTAGCTTCCATTGGAAATGAAGCTGGTGCTCCTTTTAAAGCAATAACAGGATAACGATCAGATGGAAATAATTGATTCCATTCATCAATTGAATATTCATCATAATTCAATTGATATGTAACTGTATCAACAAAATCAACATTTAATTCATTCCAAAATGGTTCAAATGGATTTCCATCTTTCATTTTACATTCACTTTTAGGTTTATCAGCTGGTAACCAACAAAAACCAATACGAGATTCCGGTGGCCATACACGAGGAGCAAGTTTTTCCATAAAATCTTGAGCATCAATTACACGATGATATGGAACAAGAGATTCTAATTGAAACCATTCTGAATATGGAATATTCTTGTAAGTACGCCACTAAAAATGAAATCAAAATTTTATTCATTTGTTCTTTTTTGCGAAACTAATTAACAATTCATGATCTTTTTTGTTGTTTCATTTTTAAGATTGTAAGTAAATTTTCTAGTTTATTAATTTCATAAATATTTTATACATACAGGTGGAACAATCAATGTTCGATTCAGTAATTTTGCAAATGCTAATCCACCAAGAAAATGTTCAGCTTGATTACCAAATCGACCCATACATAAACAAAAAATAATATAACCATTTGGATCAATTTCATATTGTTCTTCATTGGTTCTCACATGAAGAACAAATAGTAATAAAAATGTTATAATATCAAATAGAAACAAATTCATCTAAATGACATAATGTCAAGGGAAAAAATGTGCACATACGTCAAAAATAAATATGACATGTTTGCATATAGCAGAAAAAAAACAAGAGAAAGAGAGAAAAAAATTCAAAAATTTATCAACTCATATATTTGCCAGTAATGTAAAATATTTTTTTTTAGAAAAACGTTGTGTATTTGTTTCTGTTTGATTGATTCTATTTGAATAATATTAAGTCAACAAGCAAGACTATGTCATGGCATAGATATATATTTATTTAGCTTCTTTCTTGATAAAGAAAAAGAAAAAAAAAATGAACGATGTATTCTCAATAATGGGCACGTTGTACACATTTGTATAGACGACTAAAGTTTTATTTGAAAATGTGCTCGTTTATATACAGTGACATCTGTTGGGAATATAATTAAACATGAATGAAATTCTAATCTTAGAAATTCGATTAGAATTTCTCTTTTGCTTGATTTGATATATTGATAAAATTTGATTGATATATGTTAAATATTGTTAGTGATTGTAACTAGCAACCATGATGAAAATTACATGTAAATGGTTGACAATAATGTAAAATCAATATTCTATGTTAAATTCTTCATCTCTTTGTAAAACTTGAATTCAATGTTTTTTTTTTCATATTTTTCTGCCTACAACTTTAATGATTTCTAATTTTAAGATTTGTAAAGCATGACATATATAAAAACATGATTAGCATTTCGATGAGAAATCAAAAGACATACAATTTTAAATGTTGATTTGTTTTATTTTAGAGCAAATATGTCTGATGGTCGTGAAACGCCCGATAATGGAGGCGCCGATCAAGGTCCTCCAGACTCTGCAATGCCTTCTACCGATGCAGAAACGTCTAAAAAACCATCAGGCATGCTGAAAACAGCCTTTGATGATGGTGCACTCAAAGTTATGGAAGATGAATTTCAAGTATAATATCTCATTTTTCTTTTTATCAATTATCTATTAATTAATAATTTTCTTCTAGACTGTACTCAATGAACTTGTTGGTGGTGATCGAAGTTTAGATAAATTTCGTACAGAATATGAAAAACTTCATAAAGCTTTACTTAAATCACATGATAGTGAAAAACGTTTAATGCAAAAATGTCGAGAATTAAATGCTGAACTTGTAACAAATTCAGCTAAAGTACAATCAGCTATGAAATTAGGTGATGAAGATAAAAATGCTATTGCTTCATTACGAAAAGAAATTGAAAAAGCATGGAAAATGGTTGATGCTGCACATGAAAAAGAACAACGAGCTAAAGAAACTATACAAAGTTTAAGAATTGAAATAAATAATTTAAGTAAATTAGTCGAACAAGGAGCAGGTATGAATAAATATTTATTCTATAGTACATGAAAATCTATTATGATTAACAGTCTGTATTTCAACTATTTAATAGAAGAAAAAAAGTCTTTTTTTTAAACTTGTATCTAGCGGCGTAACCAGAGTTTTGGCAATGGTAGAGCTCGGCAACGCTTAAATATCCGGTGGTAGGGCTCAGGTTACTGAGGTCTGTGGGATGGTAGGGCTTGTGAAAGAATTCAGCTGACGATGCTAACACCGGTGGTAGGGCTGAGCCCCCTGGCCCTACCTTGGTTACGCCACTACTTGGATCGAATAATAGAACTCATTATTCTGAAAGTGTCGAATGAAATGATCTAAAAATAAGAATCTTTCATTATATAGAGTCATATATAACTGACATCAAGTCAGCATGGAAAAGAATAGAGAAAAAAGTAAAAAGACAATTTTATATATTGTATTTTATCCTTGAAGCTTTACAATAGTATATGTAAAAATTTTCGATCATGATTAACTATAAGTGTAACATTATGAAACACATATATGTAATATTAAATTTGACAAAAAAAATATATTCTCAAGTTTTATTTCTACTTTATTGTCATATGATATAGATTGATGTATACTTGAGATAAAGTTAAAATCGAAAAGAATGAAAAATGATGCAAATGTAGTGTTATATTTTATTTTATTCTTTAAACTTTTTCTAGTGTATTTTGATTAGATACATGTGCACAGGGTAAGCCTTTTTTTCATATCCTGCACTTTGACTGAGAAAAATTTTCTAAACCCAACCTTGTACATTTCTACTTGAGAGTACAATAAAGCAAAAATAAAACTTCAATTACATATATGTTTTACAAGGTTATTGATTTCGACATCTCTATTATCTCGTATAACTATAGATATAGAATATATCAGTATGAATATGATTATCGTAGGATGGCTGATAATGCTCTAAAATTTCGAAATATAATATAAAAAAAAGTAAAACAAAAAAAATTTGAAGAATATTTTGAATTTTATTGTTCTTTTGTTGTTCTCGAAGATTTTGTTTACGATGCAAAACTTTCATATCAGTGATAAGAATAGGAATTGATACATTAACTTAACCGAAGAGCATTATTCCGGCTGTTGCAAACGGCGAATTACTTCATCGACTTTCAATGTATTTCGTTCTCTCGTTTTATGAATTTACGAAAAATGATGACGTAAAGATGTCGTATTGTATCATTTGTGGTACCTTTTTCTTAGATCTGAGTGAGTTCATTGATAAGAACAGCTCAAACAACCAACAAGCTTGACTTTTCACAAGTTTTGATCGAACTTCATCTAAATCTATGACATTTCAATTAAA